CGTATCGACGACGATCTGTTCCCGCACGTGGACGGGAGGATTCCGGGGCCGCACCATACCCATCATGTCGCTGGAGGTGAGGGCTTGGTGTGGGCAGTGGCCAGTGGTGTTGCCGACATGCAACAGGAATGTGTGCTGGATAGATAAGAAAGGGAGAAGAGGAGTCTAGACGGAGAAAGACAGACAGAATAAAGATATGTAATCTTTGATAGCCTCGCTGATTGATTCTTTGCCAAAACAGCATTTTGCTTCAATTCACATTTCTCGACTCTAGGCTTTTCTCACAAGCATTCACTAAATGTGCCTTCTTTCAGTATCCGCCGTGGCAGATTTACAAGAGGGACAGCCGAGGCGTCGTTTACGAGTATACTGGGCTGATATTGAGGTCGTCAACGAGCTAGCCCAAAAGCTGAACTTCTCGTAAGCATTCCGTTTTACTTTTCGTTTGGAGTTATGAATCTTCATGACCATCGCCATAATAAGTTGACATTCATTTGTAACACTCATGGTACTAGAAACTTAAACATGTCACGTAACTACACACCAACAATAAAGACGAATTATCACTTTACAATTCATATACCATATTCTCAGCCACCCAGTCAGCAGCATGGCATCCCTCTCGACACCACCCTCATCCAGTCCATGCCCTCCCTACTCTCACAGATACGTCGTTCGGGCACCCCGTGACGGTCTGTGGGGGATCGAGGAGTCGCCCGGCCGCTGGAACGGTATGATCGGGGAGATCCTGGAGGGCCGCGCGCTGATGGCGGCAGGTGCCTTCACCGTGAACGCACAGCGGCAGAGCGTCATCAACTACACCGTGTTCATCGACCGTCAGCCGTACAATCTGCTGACCAGAAGGCCGGATCACCTGACCAGGGCGCTGCTCTTCCTGCAGCCCTTCGCCGCCGACGTGAGGGACGGGGAGGAGGAGGGGAGGGGATAGGGTAGAGGTGAAATGTAGGTTTCTTCTTGTTTTAATTAATTTGTCAATGTCTATGATCAATGTCTATGTCTATGTCTATGTCAAGGTCTATGATTACACTTATCATCCATCTCATTTGTTATGATGATGGCACTTTGTTATGGTGATGTAGAGTAGAGGGTTAAACTTTCTCATAGTTTTGAATTTCGATAGCCGGTAAATTAGTATGTACTTGTGTCCCAAAGAAACAGCCATAGCATAACCAGTCACCAGCATGGCTCATCCCTCTCATTCCTTCCACGGTCAGACCTGGTGGTGCATTTTCACTGCGGTGCTGCTGGCTGGACCTGTGCTCTGGCTGATCAACCGTAACAGCTACTACTACCGCTACTACAATATCTCCAGCACCAAGGACTTCTTCAACCTCAAGTACTGCTCGTGGTACGCGTACGGCGCCATCCTGCAGCAAGGTGAGCTGTGGTGCTAAACTAACGAAACAAGATACACATCCACTTGATAGCTTGATGAGGCTAGCCAGCTTCACTCTTCATCGAGTCTCATACAGGTCGCGACTTCTTTTTAAACTTTGTGAAAATCATTACCAATTAAGGCTCACAAAATCATCAAGGCTGACCCCGATGGATCTCGGATATCTTCGATGATAACGAGATGACTTCCACTAGTCGCTGCAGATCTCCACTGACCCGTTTGACTTTCTCCGAGTTGCACGGCTAAGAAAGATGGTTCACCTTTTCTGAACGGCAGGCGGGCCCCAGATACCCACAACCGTGAACCGACTCCTATTGACCCCCTTTTGACCCATTTCTGACCCTTCTAACCCCTTTTGACGGACAGGCGGTCCACGGCTGCCTAAGGCCGACTCGGGCCGGTTCGTCGTTGGCGTCTGGTGGCTGTTCGTCCTGGTGGTGGTGACCACCTACTCCGGTAATCTGGTGGCCGTGCTGACCTTCCCCCGGATCAACAACCTCATCAACAGCCTGGACGACCTGCTGGCCTTCCAGGACGACGTCACCTGGGGCATCCAGGGCGGCACCGCCATCGAAAACTACTTCAGGGTGAGGCACTAAGCTATAGCGTGGAACGCATTGAAAATTGAGCAGTCGTATTGGTATGCAGTAAAATGTATCGTAGGTATGATAGTGTTCCCCTTTACTTTAGTGCATTTCGGTGCAACGTTAACACTTTCTTTCAATATTCTTTTAAAATAATATTTAAGCCGCAAAAATCGATTTTCTGATGATTTGAAAACCAGTAACAACTTCCATATTGACATTGCAAAGACATGCACTGAAAAAATACTCGCTCGTGGTAAAACTTCTTTTACTGATCGTGGCCGGTTGAAATTGTTTTCTTTTTTAAGCGGGCAAATGTAACATCACAACATAATCAATAATTCACAGGAATCCACGGAGCCCAAATTCCGTAAGATTTTCGAGGGCGCCAAGATTCACAAGGAGGACACGGACGGCGACATTTTGTCGATGGTGCGCTACGAGCAGCACATCTACATAGAGTGGAAGACGAACCTGCTGTTCCTGATGAAGGAGGAGTTTCGACGCACCGACCGCTGCTTCTACTCGCTGGGCAAGGAGAACTTCTTCGAGGAATACGTGGCCATGGTGGTGCCGCCCGACAGTCCCTACCTCAACAAGTTCAACAAAGAGTGAGTGTGGACTGTGGGATGATAGTGGCCGATGGGCCGTGGTGTCTGTTGGTGTCGAAAAGTTGCAGTAATATGACGACATGAAAAGTGGAAACAAGCTGCAGCCTGTTTGATTTGATATAGATAGATGATGTCCAGCTTATCTAGGCGAATTTTTAAGCTTATAAGGCAAAGCAGATGTTTTCAAAAAGGTATTTGCCTTGGTTGGTTTTTAGTTTCTCAAATAGGCAGGTATTTACGGTAGCATTTCACTAAAATACATATCTACTCATAAGCACAATTCTAGATCAAAGCTCTTCTCTCGCAATCAAATCAATTCCGCATTCCCAGGATATCAAAGATGCTGAAGGCCGGTTTCATCCAGAAGTGGAAGGCCGATTTCTGGCCCTCCCAAGACCGGTGCTCGTCCACGGCTTACGGAGGAGCGGGACGCCAGAAAAAGGTTGACTTGGAGGACATGCAAGGCTCATTCTATCTCCTACTGCTAGGTAAGGTATTGGTGGTAATGCAGTAAACAGCAGCTATCATCTAAACGACTTGTAGTCGTCTGTAAATCGTCAGGAAAAAGCAGTTTGTTTCGAAAAGCCATGGTGCATTGCGGCACAGCATCGAGCCGTGCGGCACAGTATACCCACTCAGGCGCTGACCACTAGTGCCATCTATCGGTGGGGTTTCAAGTAGCGGCTCATTGCCTCCGCGTCGGGCGCTTCACGATCATTAAACGGATATTGGGGGTTGAGGGGAGCTGGGAACTATAAGTCATAGCTGTCTCACCGCTGTCAGTTAACTGACAATGGTTTATACAGGGGATAGTCCAGGGATCTTTAACGAGCGCTCCCCTAACCGTCATTCCTCGTGCTCTCGCGCAGGTCTGTTCATCGGTCTGTCGTCGCTGCTGATGGAGTGCTGCTACCGTAACACCGAGTTCCGTCGGCCGCAGCACTCGGCGCGCGAGGTGGTCATCCAGCAGACGTTTCTCGAATGAAGCTCCAAACTCAGAGACGTCGGGTGATCGCCGTATCGCGGACCCCTCCCCCGCCCCCTTCCCTAACCGTATCCCGACTGACGATGTCTAGGGAAGTCTTCGATGTCAGACGGGGTAGCGGCTAGGTTGAGCTCGGGCGCAGGTGCTGCTTTTTTCGTATGCGCACTTTCACTAGCTATGACTCACGCCACATTGTGCTGGTGTTCGCGTTCAGCACCTCCATCTTATGATGTTACATCTTTCCCGCGTTCGCGACGATCACACGACGTTTCTGAGGGGGAGCAAACTGACAGGCAACAGGTGAATTAGAGCAAAGCGACTTATAATGTTCACATATCATGTTCATTGTTCACGTCTGTTCACAGCCCTAAATGTGTAGCATAAATGTGATAACTTGGCAATATCTTTGCAATAAATGCCTCAATTTATGTCTAGTATAGACGTGATTTGTTAAACGTAAATTCATAGAATATTGCGCGTTTGCACCATAAAACGTTACATGCATTTTCTTTTTTTGTAAGCCTGATACAGGATGCCGATGACTATTTAGAACACACTCTGTCAATAAATGATAATTTTGAAACAGCACGTTCTACAATAAAAGGAGCACAGTTACAACACTAAATAATTGTTTTCTGGACAGTTTCACATTTCATGTCAAGTACTTATTCTAGGAGAAAAGGGGTAACTGATCCGCAACACGAGTTACGATGTTTTTTTTTTTTTGCACAGGCCGATGGCATCCCTGTTTTAGAAAACAACATCGTACTGGCAAAATATATTACATACATGAGTAACTGTAGCCCATTACAATGCAACAGATAACAGGTCAGAGATGATAATATGCGTAAAGCATTAGTTTGTTCATAATTCCCATCCCATTGCACAAACAACGACACCACACATTTCTGCACCTCAGTTCAAACGAACTGACAAAGCGTAGTCGAATAACGTATTTGTTCGAATGGCTGCGAGCGACATACACAGTGAACAGACAACACACAGACCCACCCATGGAAGACGCCCAAAACGGTACTATGAGATTCTCAGCACAGCACGCGTTCAATAGCCTTTAAGGCACTTTTCCCCATTTAAGGTACTTTTCCCCATACAGCAAGTCCCGCCACTAGCCGAACCGCAAACGCTATTCATTCCCTCAAAGCTGTCAGTTAAAACGATTGACTCCATCACCATTTGCCGTCCCCTATACCGTATCATTTCTCCAAACCCTAATGCTTCCCATCCCTACCCTCATCCCTACGTCTTCCGGCCGTCCCCTGTCCCCCTCAGAGCGTCCCCCAGCCCCCTGATTTGATCAGGACCCACCCGGCAGCAGCCGCCGATGTAGGTGGCGCCAGCGTCGCGGTACCGCGGTCCCATGGTGGCCAGCTCGGCACAGCGGTCGCCGGTGAACCTGGAAACAGAGTTGCGTCTTGTGATATTAGCAAAGACTGTGACGAGCAGTTATTTTTTGGGATACATCTTTGCAGAATTGCACCACTAACGGCCCAACCGACCTGCCGACCATCATCCCCGTTCCCAACCGACCTGCCGTTTACTGTCTTCATCTAACCTGCTATCCATAACTCCCCCATGTCCCGCTTGCCGTCCATCATATCTATTCACCTACCTACCTGCCGTCAAGGATATGCGTATCCCTTCCATTTCCCACCAGTCTTCAATTCACGAATTCCCCTACCCATCCCCTACCCCAAAGGCACACAACTATCAACTCACGACTTCACAACAGCCGTCACCTACCTGCCGTCGACCCAGAGCTCGCCACTGTTCGGGTACACCACCAGGGGCACCGGCACGCGGCGCCGGTCCAGGCCCGAGAGCAGCTGCAGGGCGGCGTCAGGAGCCGTGCAGTTGACCCCCACCGCCAGCAGGGAGTCAGGCCGGGCGGCACAGACGGCGGCAGCGGCCTCGGAGAACACCGAGCCGTCACAGGTGTGGCGGCTGTCCTGAGGATGGCAGGTGGAGGAAATGGAGGTCACAAGGGGATACACAGTTGGGGTTATGAAATAACTTGGTTATATGAGGCAACACGGAAGCTTCATTAGGGTCATGCGAGTAGGTGCAACTTACGTAAGATGCCCCACAGTCGGTGTAGAGAGGTCATATATAAACTGCGTCCACAGCACTCGACAATCAGCGAGACATTCTCTCTCCAAGACCGTCTGGAAATCATCAGCCACGACAAATCCGACCTTCCATCAGAGACCAGACCAGAGAAAGCACTATCGGAGACAACCAGAGACAAACATCACACCGGCACCCACCATTCCGCACCCCGAGGGCTTCTACAACCGACGTATCACCTACCTGACAGGAGAACGTGACCCAGGCTGGCGTGTTAGGGTATTCTCTGAGCAGATCCAGGACGGCCAGCGCCTCGGCGGGCCCGGGCAGAGTCTCCACGGCGAGGAGGTCGGCGCCGGCGGCCACCAGAGCCGACACGCGCGGACGGTGCCACTCCTGACGGCAGGGGCAGCGGGGAGGGGCGTGGATTACACTTACGTCGAGAGGGTGAAAATGAAATGGCTTTGATGAATGTTTGGCCAAGACTTTTAGCAAACATTAAGGGTTCTCATCTTCTGGTCAGTCATATTATATTGTGAATAGTGTATTGTATAATGGTAGTGCAATATTGTTGAGAACATTGATCATTGGCTAATCAGCATTTAACGAAAATAAAGACGCATCAGGTTTAGCCAAATTTTTAACGGCGTTGTAGATAACAACAAACGGCACTAAGAGTCATAAAACGAATATAGAGAACGTAACGAGCCGAACCTTGAGCGCGGTGCGATCCATGGTGGCCAGGTAGTTCCCGGTGTACTCTGAGCCGTCCCCCAGACAGGCACCGTACGGACCCACCGAGCCCGCCACACGCACCTCTGTCACGGAACAGGCACAGCGGCGTCACGACGGTGGCTGAAACCTTTGACGAATGACGATCGATCGAAACATTGAACTAGGCAAACCTACCCACTCTAGAGGAAAGAATGACAGAACCGCACGGATAAATCCCACATGTAACAGTGAGCCGTCAGAGTTCGAGTCAGAGTTATGGTCCTGACATGTCGACAACTCGACAGTCGACCGTTGACGGAATGACAAGTTGAAAGGCAAACTCACCTCTGCCAGAGGCCTGAGCGGCCTCCCTCGCCAGGGTGACGCTGTCCTTCATTAGCGAGATCGCCTCATCCACAGACAGTTGGAGATGCTGCTGCAGGTTCTGCACACTGGCCTGCGATGACGACAAAACGGTGTAAGTTGCTTGAGCGGCGTGGTGTTCGGCAGAGCGAAAAATACGCACGAAGGGCGTAAAAAAGAACTACTAGCTACTCATGTATAGTAGGATGTGTAGTACTTGTCGAAATCGTCGAAATTCATGAGAAATGATAGTGGCCGTCGTTACACCACACGACTCCGACTGTCCTCCCCCGAATGTGTGCGCGGCTCACCTGATAGCTGGCCGTGATGACCACATCGGCCCCCGCCTCGATGAACTGCGCATGCGCGTCCACGATGGCCCGCGGCTGTGTGCTGAGGAGGTGGGCGGACCACAGCGGGTGGCCTTCTACATCGTGGCCCGCCGCCTGCAGGGTGGTCGCCAGGCCGCCGTCCAAAATGGTTACCATGGTTACAGAGCTCAGCTGACGTCCGAGTCCTCAGCAGCTGGGTATCGACGTCGACACGAGATCACGGCACGGTAAATGATCGGATCTGATCGGGGTAAATGATCGGTATCGGCTCAATGCGAACGCAGGCACGCGATAGGCCGACACAATGATTTTGTAACCTTCAGTGCGTGCCCGTTATTCACACGTTGTCACATACATGCAGGTAGAAGCAAGCAACTTGTACAAAAGTTAAATAAATCAGTATCCAAACATCAGAGCTCAACTCTTGTGAGCAGTGCAATTATGGACGGATGACAGGCAATATCACATAATAATGCTTGGTTCGATCATACAGACATCAGAAACTTTCAGCTAATCCTTAATGCATTTAAGATTTCAGCATAGCTGCCATGCACCACCTAGCTTTTCTAAATAGCATCACGTCTGCGGGCATAAGCTCCGAGGCAAGCACAAAAGCCAACAAAGGCTATGAGAAACCCAATAACAAAGGCCAAGAAGTCAACAAATGTGAAATCATTCTCCAGGGCAGTCACACTGGGAATGAGGCAGACGATGCAGACAGCGATCAGCGGAAACACAAATGGTTTTCCACTCTCCATCTCATCAGTCTTAAACTACTGATGTGACAGTGAAATTGTGGCCTGTAGGACTGTCCACTCTTGGAACTTCAGTGCAGCTGCAGCTCATACCTGCAAATAAATCAAAAGTTAAAACAATGAATGTCATATCATACCAACCATAGTGATATGGAGCTGCAACTGCAGGTAGCTACAACAATAAATAATGCCAAAAATGTCTTGCTTCCAATAAATCTGTCATATTTCAATTAAGCAACGATTCATGACAGCTGGTAAGCGTTTCTCGAAATTTAAATCAAATGGAAGTGAGGTTTTGGTCCAGCATGGTGATGGGTGACTAGAGAAAATTTGGCATGCTATCCTGACTCCTGAGGGGCGAGGGCTCAAGCCCATTTGGCCCATATCAGCATTGGCAGTTGCAGTGTGAGATTATCAAAATATTGAGGAGTTCTGTAGTGAAACAGTTGTTCTATAATCTATAGTTATGGCTCTTATTGTAATGCCTTTGGAAAATATTTCAATCTGGCTATAATCACATGAAACACGATATAGCGGCGAATGCACAATAAACAAATGAAAAAAATGGAAACAACGTGTATAGCCTTTTCTAAGGCTTCGTCGAACATGCGACTTTAGCCGGATTTCACCATTCAACAATAAGAATCACAACTGCGCTAGCAGAAGTTGAGAGATAAAGATAAAAAAGAACATGTCTTGGACGTCTGTCAAACTAGCAGCGAGCAGCGAGCAGCGAGTCCAGCAGCGAGAAACGGGCCATCCCGATTTAGCTGAAATTTGGCTCACAGAGCCTTCTCAACACGCTGATTCCGAAAATCATGGTCTCTAGGGTGGAAATATTGACCGTTCTCGAGATAGAACCCTCTAAAGTTCTTACCACCCATGACCGGGCCATCCCGATTTGGCTGAAAATTGGCTCACAGAGCCTTCTCAGCACGCTGATTCCGAAAATCATGGTCTCTAGGGTGGAAATATTGACCATTCTCGAGATAGAACCCTCTAAAGTTCTTACCATCCATGACCGGGCCATCCCGATTTGGCTGAAAATTGGCTCACAGAGCCTTCTCAGCACGCTGATTCCGAAAATCATGGTCTCTAGGGTGGAAATATTGACCGTTCTCGAGATAGAACCCTCTAAAGTTCTAACCATCCATGACCGGGCCATCCCGATTTGGCTGAAAATTGGCTCACAGAGCCTTCTCAGCACGCTGATTCCGAAAATCATGGTCTCTAGAGTCTAGGGTGGAAATATTGACCGTTCTCGAGATAGAACCCTCTAAAGTTCTTACCATCCATGACCGGGCCATCCCGATTTGGCTGAAAATTGGCTCACAGAGCCTTCTCAGCACGCTGATTCCGAAAATCATGGTCTCTAGTGTGGAAATATTGACCGTTCTCGAGATAGAACCCTCTAAAGTTCTTACCACCCATGACCGGGCCATCCCGATTTGGCTGAAAATTGGCTCACAGAGCCTTCTCAGCACGCTGATTCCGAAAATTATGGTCTCTAATGTGGAAATATTGACCGTTCTCGAGATAGAACCCTCTAAAGTTCTTACCATCCATGACCGGGCCATCCCGATTTGGCTGAAAATTGGCTCACAGAGCCTTCTCAGCACGCTGATTCCGAAAATCATGGTCTCTAGGGTGGAAATATGGACCGTTCTCGAGATAGAACCCTCTAAAGTTCTTACCACCCATGACCGGGCCATCCCGATTTGGCTGAAAATTGGCTCACAGAGGCTTCTCAGCACGGGGATTCCGAAAATCATGGTCTCAAGGGTGGAAATATGGACCGTTCTCGAGATAGAACCCTCTAAAGTTCTTACCACCCATGACCGGGCCATCCCGATTTGGCTGAAAATTGGCTCACAGAGCCTTCTCAGCACGCTGATTCCGAAAATCATGGTCTCTAGGGTGGAAATATTGACCGTTCTCGAGATAGAACCCTCTAAAGTTCTTACCACCCATGACCGGGCCATCCCGATTTGGCTGAAAATTGGCTCACAGAGGCTTCTCAGCACGGGGATTCCGAAAATCATGGTCTCAAGGGTGGAAATATGGAGAGACCATGATTTTTGGAATCAGCGTGCTGAGAAGGCTCTGTGAGCCAATTTTCAGCCAAATCGGGATGGCCCGGTCATGGATGGTAAGAACTTTAAAGGGTTCTATCTCGAGAACAGTCAATATTTCCACCCTAGAGACCATGATTTTCGGAATCAGCGTGCTGAGAAGGCTCTGTGAGCCAATTTTCAGCCAAATCGGGATGGCCCGGTCATGGATGGTAAGAACTTTAGAGGGTTCTATCTCGAGAATGGTCAATATTTCCACCCTAGAGACCATGATTTTCGGAATCAGCGTGCTGAGAAGGCTCTGTGAGCAAATTTTCAGCCAAATCGGGATGGCCCGGTCATGGATGGTAAGAACTTTAGAGGGTTCTATCTCGAGAACGGTCAATATTTCCACCCTAGAGACCATGATTTTCGGAATCAGCGTGCTGAGAAGGCTCTGTAAGCCAAATTTCAGCTAAATCGGGATGGCCCGTTTCTCGCTGCTGGACTCGCTGCGAGGGTTCTATCTCGAGTACGGTCAATATTTCCACACTAGAGACCATGATTTTCGGAATCAGCGTGCTGAGAAGGCCCTGTGAGCCAATTTTCAGCCAAATCGGGATGGCCCGGTCATGGGTGGTAAGAACTTTAGAGGGTTCTATCTCGACAACGGTCAAGATTTCCACCCTAGAGACCATGATTTTCGGAATCAGCGTGCTGAGAAGGCTCTGTGAGCCAAATTTCAGCTAAATCGGGATGGCCCGTTTCTCGCTGCTGGACTCGCTCCGAGGGTTCTATCTCGAGAACGGTCAATATTTCCACCCTAGAGACCATGATTTTCGGAATCAGCGTGCTGAGAAGGCTCTGTGAGCCAATTTTCAGCCAAATCGGGATGGCCCGGTCATGGGTGGTAAGAACTTTAGAGGGTTCTATCTCGAGAACGGTCAATATTTCCACCCTAGAGACCATGATTTTCGGAATCAGCGTGCTGAGAAGGCTCTGTGAGCCAAATTTCAGCTAAATCGGGATGGCCCGTTTCTCGCTGCTGGACTCGCTGCGAGGGTTCTATCTCGAGAACGGTCAATATTTCCACCCTAGAGACCATGATTTTCGGAATCAGCGTGCTGAGAAGGCTCTGTGAGCCAATTTTCAGCCAAATCGGGATGGCCCGGTCATGGGTGGTAAGAACTTTAGAGGGTTCTATCTCGAAAATGGTCAATATTTCCACCCTAGAGACCATGATTTTCGGAATCAGCGTGCTGAGAAGGCTCTGTGAGCCAACTTTCAGCCAAATCGGGATGGCCCGTTTCTCGCTGCTGGACTCGCTGCGAGGGTTCTATCTCGAGAACGGTCAATATTTCCACCCTAGAGACCATGATTTTCGGAATCAGCGTGCTGAGAAGGCTCTGTGAGCCAATTTTCAGCCAAATCGGGATGGCCCGGTCATGGGTGGTAAGAACTTTAGAGGGTTCTATCTCGAGAACGGTCAAGATTTCCACCCTAGAGACCATGATTTTCGGAATCAGCGTGCTGAGAAAACTCTGTGAGCCAAATTTCAGCTAAATCGGGATGGCCCGTTTCTCGCTGCTGGACTCGCTGCGAGGGTTCTATCTCGAAAACGGTCAATATTTCCACCCCAGAGACCATGATTTTCGGAATCAGCGTGCTGAGAAGGCTCTGTGAGCCAATTTTCAGCCAAATCGGGATGGCCCGGTCATGAGTGGTAAGAACTTTAGAGGGTTCTATCTCGAGAACGGTCAATATTTCCACCCTAGAGACCATGATTTTCGGAATCAGCGTGCTGAGAAGGCTCTGTAAGCCAAATTTCAGCTAAATCGGGATGGCCCGTTTCTCGCTGCTGGACTCGCTGCGAGGGTTCTATCTCGAGAACGGTCAATATTTCCACCCTAGAGACCATGATTTTCGGAATCAGCGTGCTGAGAAGGCTCTGTGAGCCAATTTTCAGCCAAATCGGGATGGCCCGGTCATGGATGGTAAGAACTTTAGAGGGTTCTATCTCGAGAATGGTCAATATTTCCACCCTAGAGACCATGATTTTCGGAATCAGCGTGCTGAGAAGGCTCTGTGAGCCAAATTTCAGCTAAATCGGGATGGCCCGTTTCTCGCTGCTGGACTCGCTGCGAGGGTTCTATCTCGAAAACGGTCAATATTTCCACCCCAGAGACCATGATTTTCGGAATCAGCGTGCTGAGAAGGCTCTGTGAGCCAATTTTCAGCCAAATCGGGATGGCCCGGTCATGAGTGGTAAGAACTTTAGAGGGTTCTATCTCGAGAACGGTCAATATTTCCACCCTAGAGACCATGATTTTCGGAATCAGCGTGCTGAGAAGGCTCTGTAAGCCAAATTTCAGCTAAATCGGGATGGCCCGTTTCTCGCTGCTGGACTCGCTGCGAGGGTTCTATCTCGAGAACGGTCAATATTTCCACCCTAGAGACCATGATTTTCGGAATCAGCGTGCTGAGAAGGCTCTGTGAGCCAATTTTCAGCCAAATCGGGATGGCCCGGTCATGGATGGTAAGAACTTTAGAGGGTTCTATCTCGAGAATGGTCAATATTTCCACCCTAGAGACCATGATTTTCGGAATCAGCGTGCTGAGAAGGCTCTGTGAGCCAATTTTCAGCCAAATCGGGATGGCCCGTTTCTCGCTGCTGGACTCGCTGCGAGGGTTCTATCTCGAGAACGGTCAATATTTCCACCCTAGAGACCATGATTTTCGGAATCAGCGTGCTGAGAAGGCTCTGTGAGCCAATTTTCAGCCAAATCGGGATGGCCCGGTCATGGGTGGTAAGAACTTTAGAGGGTTCTATCTCGAGAACGGTCAAGATTTCCACCCTAGAGACCATGATTTTCGGAATCAGCGTGCTGAGAAGGCTCTGTGAGCCAAATTTCAGCTAAATCGGGATGGCCCGTTTCTCGCTGCTGGACTCGCTGCGAGGGTTCTATCTCGAGAACGGTCAATATTTCCACCCAAGAGACCATGATTTTCGGAATCAGCGTGCTGAGAAGGCTCTGTGAGCCAATTTTCAGCCAAATCGGGATGGCCCGGTCATGGGTGGTAAGAACTTTAGAGGGTTCTATCTCGAGAACGGTCAATATTTCCACCCTAGAGACCATGATTTTCGGAATCAGCGTGCTGAGAAGGCTCTGTGAGCCAAATTTCAGCTAAATCGGGATGGCCTGTTTCTCGCTGCTGGACTCGCTGCGAGGGTTCTATCTCGAGAACGGTCAATATTTCCACCCTAGAGACCATGATTTTCGGAATCAGCGTGCTGAGAAGGCTCTGTGAGCCAATTTTCAGTCAAATCGGGATGGCCCGGTCATGGATGGTAAGAACTTTAGAGGGTTCTATCTCGAGAATGGTCAATATTTCCACCCTAGAGACCATGATTTTCGGAATCAGCGTGCTGAGAAGGCTCTGTGAGCCAATTTTCAGCCAAATCGGGATGGCCCGTTTCTCGCTGCTGGACTCGCTGCGAGGGTTCT